CAGGAGAGTATGTCCCGCTCAAAACCGCTCTCAGGCAATTTAAGGGACACTGAATCTATTGTTAATGAAGAGGGAGTGGGAGATAAACCGTAGAGACAGCCGACTGGACAAAAATGATTTCCTGGCTGGCTACCTGGTGGCTGACAGGAGTGGGTGGTGGCACCAGACTGCACTCATCTCTGGTTCAGCCTTGACCCACCCTGTGGGACAGCCGTCAGGAAGACTGAGCCTTAACAGTTGGGGAGAGCTGCGGAGAACTAACAGGGCAGGGAGAGCTGGAGTCCCTGGAGTTGGCAAGAAGGGTCCGATTACTATGTGTCCTGGGGTGGGGGCTGACACTTGAACTTGCTATGTAACTTGAGTCTTTCACAGTGGTTATTTAGAGGCGTAAGATGGCGAAATTCTAATGTCCTCTCTGAGGCAGTCAGCAGAGTCGACACTTTGGGATAAGATGCTATTTTCATGTGCTATATTTGTTTTTGTTTTAAAGATACGAGAAAAGAGTCAATAAAATTATAAAAACAAACCAGAATGTCATGTTCTCTGACAACTTTGAAAACATCTCGAGTGCCCCCAGGCTTCAGGCAGTATAATGTTCTTTTCGCGCTGAAGAGAACACTCCGGAAGTGTACCGTTACAAGAGGTTTGAGAGTGGCCACAAGGTGGCGCCACACCCCACAGAATGGCTAAGGCTGCTTTGGCTGTACTTAAGCCATTTGGAGAAAGGCCTAGTTTAACTCAACCAGGAAAGAAATTTGAATAACTTGAATGGGTTTCTAGTTTCCCACCTACTGTGTGAGAGAAAGGAGCACCTTTGAGAAAGCCCCACAGTTTTGATCAGCTACTTCATAGCATCTAAGCATTTTCCTTACCAGTTTATAAATTGTGAAAAAACTACACTTCAGAGATTTCTTTTGTGACATCAAATTCAGGCTGCTGTTTCCCATGGAGATGGAATGTTTTAACAGTTTTATAATCCTGACAAAACTTGGTGGGGAGTTTCTAATTTTTTAGCATTCCTGTCACTGCCATTTGAAGTTAACAGGCACACTTAAGCAATCTGAAATTTAAACTGCCAATATTCTAACAGATTAAGCAGGTAAAAGACTAAAGACTGGTGGTCTTCAAAATTCTCATGGGGCAACATATTTTTCGAGTGCAATCTTACGCGGAACCTTAGGATACGAGCTTCTCTGGTTGAAGGAGGAGTGGGACATAGTCTCCCCAGCAGTACTCTCATAACTAGGGGACTCCCAAACCACTGGTATAGACAGAAAGTTCTATTCTGAGGGCAGGGATCTTGGTTTTGGTTACTGCTATATCCATTGTTGGATGGAATGGGTTTTCTGACTGGACCAAGCCACGCAACTTTTGGGAGCACCAAGTAATCTAAATCTGTGGTAATGATGATGGGGCCCAGGGGTGGAAAAACTTCCTTAGGGAGTGAGTGATGGCCTCAGTGCTGTAGCTTTAGTTAAGGGCTTGTACCCTGTGGTAGTCAGACATGTAGAGTGGTTTTCCTTCTTTTTTAGTTTTTTTGTTTTTTAAGATTTTTATTTATTTATTTGAGAGAGAGAGAAGGAGCACAATCAGGGGAAGCTGTAGAAGCAGAGGGAGAAGCAGGCTCCCCACTGAGCAGGGAGCCGGATGTGGGACTCCATCATGACATGAGCCGAAGGTAGATGCTTAACAGACTGAGCCACCCAAGTGCCCCGTGGTGTTTTCTTTTTTAAAAGATTTATTTCAGGGCACCAGGGTGGCTCAGTTGGTTAAGCGACTGCCTTTGGCTCAGGTCATGATGCCAGAGTCTCAGGATCGAATCCTGCATCGGGCTCCCATCCCAGCTCCACAGGGAGTCTGCTTCTCCCTCTGACCTTCTCTCATGCTCTGTCTCTCAAATAAATAAAATCTGCTTTAAAAAAAGGATTTATTTCAGACAGAGCGCATGTGTGCATGAGCAGGGTAGGGGAGGGCCAGAGGGAGAAGCAGACTGTTCACTGAGCAGGGAACCTGATGGGGGGTGGTAGGGGGTGTTCATCCCAGGACTCTGTGATCATGACCTGAGCCAAAGGCAGAAGTTTAACCAACCAAACCACCCAGATGCCCCTCCTTTTGTTTTTTCAAGTTGAGTTGTCTGGTTTTTTCTAGTTGATTAACTACTGCACACTGCAGGCAAGACCAGTTCTGCAAATTTTTACTTAGCATGTTCTAATGTTCTTGCTCAAAGGGAGCTGTTCTAGCAAGACTGAGGTTAAAAAGGCATTGTAGTCCAGCTCTGAAGCACTGCACCTGCAGAGAAAGATTCAGGCAAAACAAGAGACTTTTAGGGACCCTCTGTATTGAGACTAGAAACAAGGGCAAAAGAGTGAGGGTGTTGCCTCATGAAAGGAGACGCATGCGCCCCAGCTAGTGTTTGTGGGGAGTGAGCACTTGAACATAGGGGTTCCTGAGAAGGGGCTGGCTTGCTTTCTCCTTGCCATGGTCTACCTGTGCCTTGGTGTCCCTTCAGAGGGTCCTGCTGCTCCTCTGCCCAAAGGCCTTGTGCAAAGGAGATTCCGTTTGGGAACTCCTGGTCAGAAAGTTCCAGCCATAGAGGTAGGTAGTAACTTACAGCACAGGCACAGGGAGTCCCATTGACATGCGCAGAGGAAAATCGTGGATTACAAGTGAATAGAATAGCCTTCATTTGGTCAAAATTAACTTTATTTTTCAGCTTTACTTCATCTGGATGTGGTAACAAAATTAGCACACACAAAAAGAATGCAGATGTGGGGGCCAGTTAAAGAAAGTGCTTCCAGGAACGTGGTGGGAAGATGAGAATAACAAAGATAAACATGTAGGTTGGAATTCTAAAACACTGAGTTCAGTATTAGTTTTGCCACAATCTGTGACTGGAGATGACTTGTCCTCTTTAAGCTTATTTTCTCATGTCATTGCTTGGATTTGAGAGCACTCATCACACTGTTAAAACAGTCTGAGGCTTTCTGTCGCTGGTGTGTTCCTCTGTGGCGGTGTGAGACCACACTAGTCTAGGTTAAGGAGAGAAGGCCACGGTGGTTGAAACACGTTGAGGACCTGGGCTTGGCTCAGTAAGCCATGCTGGGTTTGCTCCAACTGGCAGCCAGGTGGCTGGACAGGCTGGTGACAGGACTCCCTAAACCTTGGGGAGTAGGGACCAGAGGGATGGGGCAGGACCAGCACCTGTTCTGGTGGGAGGAAGCCAATGAAAGTAGAACTTCTCAGTCCTGCTTCTAGTCTTTCTATCCAGGTTGTTTCAAACCAAGTCCTGCACAAATGGAGAAGAGCTGAACTCTTCTGCACCCTGTCCTGCCCTCGTGTTGTCTCTTTAATCTGTGTTTTGACAAACCGCTAAAGTCATCCCTGCAGCCTTTCCACGGAGGTGTTCTAACCCCACTGCAGCTCACTTTCAGATGACCTTTGTTCTCTCCCACAACTAAACGCAGGCTCAACTAAACTATGGCTCTGCTTTTTCCTTCTAGTTTGAGTTTCCTCCTTTCCGGATCCAAAATGAGCAATATGCTTAGAGTAGGTGCTGTGGAACAGGTCAATCACTAAATCACGCCCTCACCTACAAGGGAAAGCTGTGGCCGTGGGGCGGAGCAGAGGCTGTGAATGCAGAGGACAAGCCCTGGGGCTTAAGGCAAAGACTATTGGGCACATTCTTTTGTTTGTTTGCTTTAGACATGGGTTAAATCTTTACCTTTTAAGAACCAGAAGATTTTGTAAAAAACTGTATTTCAGTATTAGGCGGGGAGGCTTTTTAAGAGATTATCTTAAATTCCTACCTGGTGTCCAGCTGAGAAGACGCTTGAAGAGTTCATAGTTCACAAACTGTTTTTATCTTCCTATCTCTGGTTTAGGACTGTGAAGTGATTATATTTAATTCACTGTTCCTACTCAGAAGCAATACATTGCTTCTTCTGAGAAATTTCTAAGAAATTAAAAAGAAATTGCTTCTTAATTTCTAATTAAGAAATTTAGAAAATTTCTTAGCAACCCCTATATTCTTTAGGACTGAATTTTGTGTTTTCCTCCTGACTGATAATTTAGGGTCTCCCAATGTGGTCACTTGTGCTGACTACTTTATTAAACTTGGACTTACAGGTAGGAAGACAAAGGGAAACCACTGGGAACCTCCATTTGTTTCTAGGGAGGAGATGAAGTTGTCCCGTCTGTTTGGTTGTTTGTGGATAAGAATCAGGAAGTAGACTCTCCATCCTAGAAGTGTGTTGCTCCTTGGGTGGTGATTATAAGAGGTGATCCCAAGGTGGAGGGGATTTTGAATGACCAGTAACTCTCCTTGCTATTTTGGCAAGACCTAGGACCTAATGCTCCCCGGGTGGAACGTAAGCTCAAAAAGCAATAATGCCAGGAGCCTTCAAAGTCAGATGTCTCCAGCAACACAGTCCTGGCTTTGTTCTGCCTGCTTCTAGAAGTGGGAAAATTGCTTCTCCAGGAGCCTGAGGCAGACCTAGGTCCCACCTAGCTGTAGAGTGAGCTGAGCCTCCCAGGCAGAGCACTACACCAGGCCTCAAATATAAGTCTTGCTCAGAAGGTTCACCCGCTCTGTCTTCTCAGACAGTAGCGGGTGGGGAAGTCACTGAGAAGCGGACCAGTGAGATGGGCTCGTCCGTTTCCTGGCTGGAATTTTAGTGCTAAATCTCTTACTGATTTTTGGGCTTGGTAGGTCCCCCCTATTCTTCCAACACCCTCAGACTCCCTCTTTGCTCACCAAGCATCAGTTTCTGCCAAACTAGAAAAAGGAAAGGAAACTTACATCTCTGCCCCAATAGCTCCACCCCTCCCTCCAGGGGCCATGCATGTCTTTGGGTCTTATGTCTGTGCCTGGAAGATAAAGGGGAGGGTTTGAGTTGAGCCTTTATCTCCTCAAACCCACGCCCTCTGAATATTATAATTACAGTGGCATTTTCCCTCAAGCTCCCCTCTGCCTTGGTGCCAGAAAAATCATCTCCCAGATGGGCTGGTATTATCACTGAAGACAGGCATCTCTTCCAGATGGAGCAGCTGTTTTACTGGTGAAGATAGGCATCTAGCCAGAGCTGCCCAGACTCCTTCAGTGAGCTGTGGGGGCAAGATGGGAGCAGGAGGTAAAAGAGAGCAGAGCCAGGGCCGAAAGCCAAACAAACCACCCTAAAACATGGAGTAGTGAGGCTCTTACAGGGGAGTGGAGGCCGATCTCCATGGCATATGGCCTCTTTCCTCCCCTTTGCTTCTGAGAAGTAGCTTGGGCCATGGCACTGGGAACAAAGGCTTGCCTTGGCCACAGGACCAACAGAGCATCCTGCCTTTGTCTTGGTGGCGTCCATTCCAGAAGACTGGGAAACCTGCCTATTGCTCCCCACACATCACCCACCCCATTGCCTGCCCTCTTTCCACCCTACCAGCCATCTTCCCAGGCTCAGGTACTCACTAGATAATGTCGGCGAAGGCTGAGAGCAGGGGCTTGGACTGGTACTCTATGCCATGCTTGGCACACAGGGACTGCACCAGGGGAGCCACTTTATGGTAATTGTGTCGAGGCATTGTGGGGAAAAGACTTCAGGGAGAACGGGACAGTCAGTGGCTTTACTCCACTCTCTCAACCTCCCCACTTCCCCACAGGGACCCTCCCAAGGACCCTGCTTCTCAGATCTCCCTACTTACTGGTGCTCTATCTGGAAGTTGAGATGGCCAGTGAACCAGTCATTGAAGGCAGACTTGTGGACATTACATGTTGCCCGGAGCTGGAGGAAGAGGGCAGGGGAGAGTGTGGCTCTGGGTACCAGATGGAAAGGCCAACGCAACCTTCTCCAGGCAAAGCTGGCTGAGAGGAGGGAGTGTGGGACCGTCCCTGGTCACGCCACATGGTGGCAGGAGTGAAGCTTCCAGCCAATGAGGCAGTGCTGTTTGGGGACTTTTGTTGTTAACTGCCCCAGCCCCTTGCCTGCATCGGGGCCCACCCACCCTTTTCATGAGTTATGTCATCCCCAGGTCTTCCAAGTGACCGTCCCTTACCTGGATGGAGACCCAGTCCATGTTCCGGTCGCGATCAATGTGCATGGGGATGTGGTTCATCTGTGTGACCCACACAAACCAGTGGCTCTCCAGTAACCTGGTGGATAGGGCACACAGACAAAGACAGTACAAGTTAGACTTCTTTTCCCTCAGGTAACAGCTCTGGCCTGGCCATCTTCCCAAGCCAACCCCTGAGACACCTCTGGTGCCTAAAGCCCCAGCGCAGCCCCTAGACCAGACTCGTTTCTCCCACAGATCGGCTTTTCTTTGCCATGGCTCCTTCCCCAGCAGATAGTACCTGACCACGAAGAAAAGGCCCAGAACGCCTTTCAGTCCCAGCAACGGGCCGTAGGTCAGGAAGAAGCGGGCGTAGAAGGTGATCATCCAGGCCAAGTCCTGCATCGAGAGGCAGACAGCTCAATGACTGGCACAAAGCACTTCCTCCTCTCCCTTTCGTTTCACCCGTTTGCCTGGTACAGCCACTCTGCCAGGGACCCAGACTGGAACGCTGTCACCGGCGGCTTCTCTTCATCGACCCAGTCCCGCAATATCTCGTGCCACCACGCCTTCCTTCCATTCTTTGCGGGGTCCCCAGTCCTCCTTGCCTGTTTCCTTCCCAGGTGCCAAGGCCTCCGGGCTCTCCCGGCCTCCAGCTCCTCCCAGCCTGTCAACGTTCTTTATCCCTTCATCAAGATGCCAAATCAGTCTCCCCGGATGGTGGCTCGGTCTGTGCCGGTGCCCTGCTCCAGCACTCCTTTGGCATCACAGCTCTCCCCTGACACGAGTCCACAACATGCCCAAGTGGCCAAAATTGCCCCTCACTTCCCAGCTTCTCTGCTCAGAGTCCATCCTCCCCCCACCCCACCTCTGCCTACCCTCCAAGGCCAGCTACAGAAGTGACTTCGCGAAGCCTTTTCTGATGCCTCTCATCCAGCCAGGAGCGGGCAGGGCCATTTTAGAATCCCAGAACCTTCTGCATTTACCTCTTCCCCACCTGAAAGCCTGGCTCCTGGCTTTATGAAAAAGCACAAGAACCTCAGGAGGTACCAGCTGAATGAAACAGGCCATGGGGTTGCGTGGGCTGCGCCTGGGGGGCTCAGTCAGCTGAGTACCCGACTCCTGGTTTCTGCCCAGCTCATGATCTCAGGGTCATGGGCCTGAGCCTGGTGTTCCGTGCTTAGCACCAAATCTACTTGAGAGATCATCTCCCTCTCCCTCTGCCCTTTCCCCTGCCTGTGCGTGCTCTCTCTCTCTCTCATGAATGAATGACTAAAATCTTAAAAAAAAAAAAAAAAAAAAAAAGAAATAGAGGTTTGGGAGTTAAGCTGTCTGCTGAGTCCAGGTCATCCACCTAGAGACAAGGAAGGTCTGTGTTCGGTTCTATTAACTTTGCTCTACATTAGGCCTGGAGTACATTTCCGTGAGCTTTCCTCTGGAGAACCCCCATTCCCTCCCCTCAGGATCCTGAAGACAAAGGATGTGGAACTTGGGGCCCGTGGATACTCACCACCCACTTCTTCCGATGGATAACAAAATTTAACATATACCACTGGAAGTAGAGAGGCACCAAGGCTGGGGGCCCAACTGGGAAGGAAATGGAGACAGGGAGGGGGTGTGAGCAGCATGAGGGCAGTTCGGCGCAGGAGGGGTGGCCTCTGGCCTGGGGCTGCCCCCTGCCACCTCTTCCTGTAGCCCCTTCCAGCTGCCTTGGCTTTCCTGACTCCACGGCAACCGGCAGGCCCGGAGGGTGGGCATGAATGCAAGTCTGAAGAAGGCAAGACCTCCCAAGAGGATGCCAGGAGAGTGAAGGTGGGAGTGACATTCTCTTCCAGGGGAACAAGGCAGCTGGGGAAACTCCACGCACAGAACCCGCCCTGCTGCCTGTCCTCGCGCTCACCCGCCCTGTGTTCCCCGCTGCTCCGCGGAGCAGGTGAAGGGAGGGGAGCAGGGGGCCCTGCTGAGGCTTCATGGGCTGAAAGCTTACTTCTTCGGAGTAGGAAAACGAGCCGGCACCGCCCAACCCGAAGCCCTGGAGGGCAGGCCTGGGAAGGGGCAGCCAGGCTTCTCAGAACGCTGGGAGTCGAAGGGGTCCCCTACTAATGCTGTGCCATTTCCTTTTCTGTATCCCTTCTCTGCAGGGTCCTCACGCTCCCTATAACCACCGCAGGACCGTGCTCACCTACGGCTCCTCTCTCCTGATGGGCCACGGATTCTAAAATTCTTCCAGACGTTTCAGCTCTACCCTTCTAACCCATCCCCCTTTCTCCAGGCAGTTAGGATAAATTCCTTTGAACTCAAATGGGATCAGTGGAATCCTCCTTTCCCTTCCTTTAAAAATTTGAATTTTTATGGGAAATAGAACACTCAAATTTTAGGCATGATGAAGACTTTTAAAAGCAAGGAATAGGGGCGCCTGGATGGCTCAGTGGGTTAAAGCCTCTGCCTTTGGCTCAGGTCATGATCCCAGGGTCCTGGGATCAAGTCCCGCGTATCAGGCTCTCTGCTCAGCAGGGAGCCTGCTTCCTCCTCTCTCTCTCTGCCTGCCTCTCTGCCTACTTGTAATCTCTGCCTGTCAAATAAATAAATAAATAATCTTAAAAAAAAAAAAAAACCTATTGCTAAAAGCAAGGAATATAGAGCATTGTTCAGAGAGAGCTTAAGACAACCACAGAAATGTCCTCCTTTTCAGCTCTAACAGCCTCTCCACTTCCTTTCTGAGGCCAGTCCTCCCACAGCCATGTCTGCCTTTATCCCCCTGGGTGCTGGACTGCTCCACGGAGTCGTCTCGGCCCAAGTCTGTTTCTCAGGGTCTAAGGTTTACTCAAGATGGCTGCCCCGACCACACAATGTTCCTGTGGAAGAACTCCTTGGCCCTGGCTACACATGAGTCTTTTTTTTTCTTTTAATTTTTTTTTTTAATTTTTATTTATTTATTTGACAGAGAGAGAGAGAGAGAGATCACAAGTAGGCAGAGAAGCAGGCAGAGAGAGAGGAGGAAGCAGGCTCCCTGCCGAGCAGAAAGCCCGATGCGGGGCCCGATCCCAGGACCCTGAGATCATGACCTGAGCCAAAGGCAGAGGCTTTAACCCACTGAGCCACCCAGGCGCCCCTACACAAGACTCTTGACCCAACATTAGCCTGGAAACTTTGCTCAACTGAGATGGTAATCTGCTCCCATGCAGAGAGGAACCCAGTCAGAGACAGGGTGCTTCCTCCAGTCTTTACTGGAAATACCATAATCCTTCAGAAAGTCATTTCTTCCTCACATCCCTTCAGCGACCCCATCCCGAGAGTCCCCTGTGCCGGATGCGCACTCAGGAAGAAGCACTCACTCAGGAAGAAGTACTTGTGCTGGTGGTTGTATGGCATGTACTTTTTCTTCTGCTTCCCAAGCTGTGAGGAAAAGTGCAAAGAAATCAGTACCCGCAGACCAGTCACCACATTCCCCTCCCGCTGTGAGCCTGGCTTTTCCCTGCTCAGGAGTTTGGCCTACTCCAGGGTGAGCTTGTGGCTGCTGTTCGACTGCTCCAGCAGGCCGGGCCTTGCCCCAGCGCCCAGTGCAGGGAGGCCCTGGCTGGGATGGGCCAGGTGCAACCACCATGGCCTACAGCTCTGTGGCCGCCGCCCACACAAGGCACGAGCACAGCAGTCTGCAGGTCCTCAGGACACCTCGTGTTCACTGAAAGAGACTTACATCATAAGGTTTCCAGGCCTCTCCACATCCTCCCCCTTTCCCCATCTAGTACTTTCTTTTTTTTTTTTTTTTAAAGATTTGTTTACTTGTTTTAGAGAGTGAGCGGGGAGCGGGGACAGGGAGAGAATCCCAAGCAGACTCCCCACCAAGCACAGAGCCTGACTGGGGGCTTGATCCCAGGACCCTGAGATCATGACCTGAGCCAAAATCAAGAGTTGGACACTCGGCCAACTGAGCTGACCATAGACAACCATTTATAACCCTATACAGGCCAGTATTCCCTCTACATCCATCCATCCAGACCCTCTTGTGGTCTCTTGACTACAACGTGAACTTTATAAAATCCCTTGATTGCTAAGCCAAGTTCGGCAAATATTTGTGGAAAGGAACTTGACAATCTGAAGGTTCTGGCAAGGCTTTTCCCAAAAGGTAGTGATTTCTCGCAAGCCTAGCTGCTGTAGACACGAGCTGGTGCAATTAACTCAGTCAGCCTGAATGCCTAGCGTGGGTGCACAAAATCACGACAGCAAAGCTCTGCTCTCTCACTTGATGGCTCCTTCTGCCCCTCTTGTTCCAGTAAGTTCTGGCAACTGGATGACCCAGAGCACAGGAGGCCCCGTACTCCTGAGTGCAATGCCAGCTCCTCTTTCTTCTGTGCAAGGCCCTTGGGCTAGATGAAGCATTCTCTCTGTATTAACTGATTGAATGCAACAAGTATTTACTGAGCACCTATTTTGCTCCAGGCCCTGTTCTAGTGCTGAAGATACAGAGGTGAACAACACAAACGTTCTTACTCTCATGGAGCTTGTGATTTGAGGAGAGGAAGCTGGTGACCAGCGTGTGAACAGAACTCAAGGTAATTACAGATTACAAACAGGAAGACAGGACAAAGTGAGGGAGCGGCGTCCTGGCTCCGCTGGTCAGATATGGTCTCTCTGAGGTGTTGCCATCGGAACTGACACCTGAACGATAAGGGGCCGGCAAAGCAGAAATTCAGGGCAAGAGCATTCAATGCAGGCGGAACAGCTAGCACAAAAGCGTGGGAGGTTTAAGGGACAAGAGGGGCAGTGTGGCTGCAAACAGTAAGCAACAGGGGAGAAGGACTGGTAAGGCTGGAAAACGAGGGAAGGCCACTTCCCAATGGACCTTAGAAAGCCCTAGGAAGACCTTGGTAATGAGCCTGGGTTTTATTCCCGTGGTGATGGGAAGCCACTGGAGGGCTTTCGACAGCTGTAGCATTATTGGCTTTGCACTTCGAAGGGCTCACTCTGCCTGTGGGAGCCGAGAATGAACTGTAGGGGGGAGGCAGAGTTGCAGGGAGAGCAGTGAAGAGGCTGGAACAGGAATCAGGCTCCAAAATGGACAGCGGGGAGATGGGAAGCCATGGAGCTGGGAGAAGTCAGTGCACTTGGTGTGTTTTGGAGACAGTATTAACAAGGCTTGCTGATAATCTGGATGTTGGGGCGAGGTTCACCCCATCCCCTAAGGGGAAAACTAGAAGAGGAGCCCCTGTCTTGTTTGTGGGGGTGAGTGGGAAGAACACTGGCCTGTTTTGGAACCGTTATGGAAGGGAGTCCTGTCCCCTGCTGCCTCCTTGACAGTCAGTCAGATGCTGTTATGATCCTGATAACTGCCCTATCATGTTTCAACTCTCAGACAGAGCCAGAAAGTTTGTGCTTAGGGTGAGGTGTCCCCTGTGTTTTCTTGTTCCCCCAGAGACTCAGGAGGCACTCGGGAGGCACTGGATGCCCTGGGGCCAGCCTGAGGATCAGCATCCAGAGGGGCCGAAGCAAAGGCCAGGAAGCCTGCAGCTAAGGCACTTACTAACAGGCAGCCCATCCTCAGGCTCAGAACTAGACAGAAAAATGTCTGTTGATCCTACATCACTTTATATATTTAGTGTCTGCAAATGGGAGTATCTTGAAAACCTTAGTACCCAGAAGCAATAAAGGCAGTAGTGTGAGAAGGTTCTCTTCCACTTAAATTCCCACTTTTTTTTTTCTTTTTAAACCCTGTAGAGAGACAGTAGAAGCGCTACCAAGAGCTGATGCTCTAACAAATTCCCTACACAGGTGGGTCCAGGGCTGGCTGACCAGCCTTGCACTTGTTGACCATAACACAGTGTCGGACGTGTACAAATCAAGTCCTTGCTTAGAAGGTAGGACCATTAGGACATTATGGACAGGTGGGGCATAAGCCTCAAATAGGGGGCTCCTGGTGCCAGGACAGCCAATGCTGTAAAAGCCTTTCCACAGAGTCCTTCTCCTGGCCAGAGTGGGAGGACAGCCAGCCGACCCTGCACTCACTCGTGCCTGGAATGGAGCAGTCCTGAACGGCTGAATTCCAGGCACGCTGAAGTCTCATACAGTGGGGGAGCGGGACCTGGTGGGACTCGGACCGCAGCCTAGAGCCTGTGTGCAAAGGCTTTTAAAATAACTTTACCAACAACTCTGCTGGCCATTCAAAGCTTCCTGTTGCCTTCTGTTCATCGAAAGCGCTCCAGCTCTCTACCCTCAGGCATTCGTCCTTAAGCAGCTGCACTGCAGTTTTTGCTCATAACCCCAGGGGATAACTCAGACCCGACACTGACCACCCTGCAAGTCGGGCTGGGGTCAGATGGGTGGGAAGAATTACCGAGTGAATGAATGTTCCAGGCACTGGGCGTCAAAGAAGAGTAAGACGGTGGGTCCAGCCCTTGATGGGGAAGACTGCACACAGTAGGATATCAAAGTTGCAAAGGGCAGGGGTGGAGGGGTGGGGGTGACTACCCTGGATAGGAGTGCCTAAAAATCATCCCCAAGGAGGCCCACCCATTCGACTGGCAAGAGATTTGCACAGTAATCTGATCATTGTTTGGATCCTTTGCAGCGTGAGGTGCTTTTATGCAATAACCGTTGGCTTGCACTCACCAGGGAGGACAGATGACCCTGTCCTGGGCGGCTAATTTACTACCTGCTGCTTCCCACAAATGCCTGGGAGCCAGCCTGGCCCCAGCGTCTCACCCCCACCGACAGCATTGTGAGCATTTCCCCAGAGCCCTCTCTTCTGGCTGGCTGCCATTCTCCCAAGACCTTCCCACTGATATTTCTGCTCACCTCCACAGACAGGATCTTCCCCAGGGCAAAGAGTAAGGGGTGCATGCTGATGTCCGGGTCTTTGCCGAAACAGTTGGGCTTGGCGTGGTGCTGGAAGTGCATGTGGTTCCACCAACTGGAAGGGGCCCCCTACAGGACAGCAGGGACAGGAGTATGAATGCCTAGCATTCCCCCATTCCCCCAAGGTAACCCTTCATTGACTGGAGTTTCAAGAGCCCCTCCATAGCCCATTGACCTTCAGGTGGCCAATCACGAAATGATGTAGCAGGTGGTTCCAGGTAGAGGTGCTGAAGACAGACAGGTGCCCAAAGTCATGCTGTAGCCAGCCGGCCTGGATCTGAGTGAGAAAGGTTAGTGCTGAGAGCAGCCCACTAGCCCAGGCTCCCTCTCAAAGACCTCAGTGGTTCCTCTACCTCATCCCCTTCCTTTGTCCGCCTTAGCCCTGCGATTGCCACAGTACCTCGAGCATGTCGGGAAAGGAGTCAGGAAGCCTGGGTCCTAACTCTAGCTCTGCCACTAACTCATACGAGAGATGGGGTAAATCACTATCCTTTCCCTATTCTTCAGTTTCCCTAGAAGAGTTCCCATAGAACTCTCTGGAGTTCTAGGACTTATGATGGAGTGAATACCCAGACTACAAAAAAGGACAGAGTGACAAACTCAGAGGCGAGTGGCAGGCTTGGCAAATGGGTTCTGATAATTAGGGCCCAAGTTTTATGAGTGTGTTGGGCAATGTAGTAGTGAGGAAAAAGCCAAGATTTTTGAAAAATCAGAATTTTGATTCTTGGCACACTTGGGCTACCCTTGGGTGAGCAAAACGAGGGCGCACATGTGGCCAAGGAATGAATAAAAGGCACAGATGATAAGATGTCTTTGTGCACTAACTCTCCCCCATATCCTCAGCTGCTCTGGTCACAGGGCTGGGCTCCTTGGCCTTCTGAGGCACACAAGGAGCTTCCTTTCCCCAAGGATGCTGAGCACAGCTGTGCTCTTAACGAGCCAAGAGCTCTCACTTGAGCTACGCTGAGCAGCACTGCACAGAGGAGGAAGGGCACCAGGGATGTCCCAAAGACCCAAAGAGTGAGCCAGGCAGCTACATCCAGCAGCAGGATGTGCAAGAGGTTCAACAGGAAGAAGACATGGTTGGCCTTCATGAGCCCCATCCGCTCCACTGTGGACCGTAGCTCTCGGAACTCATCAATCAGCTCTTTCTGCGGAAGAGTAGAGAGGGAGGGGCTGTTATTCTTTCCAGCTGTAACCCAGCACCGCTGGAGACAAGGGGCCTCTTTGGCTCCAGCACCCCCTACCCCCAGATAGCTATGGCAAGTCCATAATCCTAGGTAAAGCTACCAGGACACTGAGGAAAGAAGACAGGTGCCGTGGGGTCAGGTCTAAGAGCGCGTGGTCTTTGGAGTTAAAGACTTGCTTCAGATCCCTGCTCCTCCATTTACTCACACTGTGATTCTTGGCCGCATGGCTCACTCTCCCTGAGCCCCAGTTTTTCTCATCTGTAAATGTGTGCGGGTTATATGGGGTTACAGCAGATACGGAGTTAAGTGTTTGATGGGTCTTGATGAGGGTAGTGGTGGTAGCCTTGTGAGAGCCACGCATTTCAAAGCCCTGCTCCCTTAGACCTATGTCCCAGTGACTGGGAGAAGCAGGTACCTCAAAATTTCACAAGAACTGCTGACTCTGGGGGTGCCTGGGTGGCTCAGGAGGTTAAGAATCCCCCTTCAGCTCAGGTTATGGTTCCTGAGTCCCAGGATCGGGCCCTGCATCAGGCTCCCTGCTCAGTGGGGAATCTCCTCTCTCTGCCCCTCATCCCACTCCTGCTCTCTCTCTCAAATAAAATCTTAAAAAACAAAATAAAGCAACACTACAGACTGTGATCAACTGTGATCTTATCTAGGCCTCCCTTCCCCCCGCTACCCTTCAACAACCAAAGTGTCTCCAAACAGCAGAGTCTCACATTTTTAGTGGGCTCAAAGCTGGGCTGCTCTGGAGACAGTTCTCCAATCAGGAGAGAGTTCATATACTTCCTCACAAGGCCTTTGTTGATGTGGAACGCCACAAAGGGATCCTGCAAAGATAGGAGAAGACACAGCGGTTAGGAAGCCGGCCCGGGGCTCCCCGGGATCCTGGAGGGCTCACACCAGAGGCCATCCTCTTAATTTAGCAAGGAGGCTGTATCCAGGTTCAAAGAGACAGCACTTCCCTCCAGTCAGCTGTCTTTTGAGGGTGCTGAAGATCTTTCCCGGGTGTGCACAGCTCAGGAACACCCAGCATGTGTTCTAGTGAAAAGGGCACCACAGCAAGGAATAGGAAGTGTGGGTAGGGGGACCACAGAAAGACCTCTCTGGGCTGTCCCGTCCTCTAGGAGTGTCTATGAACAGCTTTTGCACAAGATTTTAAGATCTAGGTGAGAAATAACTAAAAGGGATGGGTGGGGCTAGACTTCCGTTTGTACCTATGGGACTTTTAACAGACCTTCTCTGAGCCAGAGTTCTTCATAAAATGTGATTAGGAAGACTCCCTACCTCCGAACTGGGACTTTCTGCATTTCTCCTCTTTCTCTCTGCCGCTGTACCTTGTAGGGTTCCATATTTCCCCTAAGACTCCGACCACCCCCTGCCCCAGAGTGGCTCATTTTGGTTCTGTGAAGTGGGCTAGGTCAGGCGGCCGGCGGCACCACACATCTGGACCAATCGCCATCCCCGTTGCGGCCGGCCCCAGCCCCGGCCCCAAATCACAGAGCGTGAGGACCCAGCATCGGTGCCTCCCGCATTTGCGCATGCGTTAGCCCACGTCCTCGCTCCACTCTGCAGTCCCGGCTTCCGAGTGGTCGGTCACTAGGGGTGATCACTATAAGCTCTGGCGTTGCCCGCCCCCCGCCCCCGCCCGGCCGCCACGCAGGGAGGTTTGCGGGCCCTCAGGCCAATACGTCTATGCTCCGTTGCGACCTAACGGGGACTCTTGTGGGCCCAGGCACCTTCCCGGATGGCAAAGGCAGAGGGTAGGGACAGCGGAAGTGGTCATGCCGCTGGGCTGGGGAACGATGTAGGGGGAGGGGACGCGGCGGAGCAAAGTCTCTACAGGGTCCCACGAGGTGATCGCCTGCTCTCCAACCACGGCAGGAGGAGCCAGTTGCCTTACGTCCGAGAGCAGGTGGTCTAGAAAGGGAAGAGCAAGACTGGGTCTGGATGGCGCGCTGGCCCCCATAGTGAGCCCAGAAAGGATGCGAACCACAGCCCGGGAGTGCAAACAGCTGTCCGCTGCGGCGAATAGCTGGAGACCCCGCTGGCCTGCGGCCGAGTGACCTTCCACCATGATTCGGGTTTTCTCTTAAGTGTAAGCTGACGTAGGCTCCCCCACCTTCTGCACGCCGCTCCCTGACCCACTGTGCACCAGCAGTGGTTAGTCCTCTCTGGGCGGTGAGGCCCCTCCTTCACCCTGTACGGGGGTTCCCACCGCAGCGGGCACCTGGAGGCTTCCCGCCTCGGCCCCGTCCCCGAGAACGCTTCCCTCTCCCGCCTCCCTTCGCAAGCAGGTACGCGCAGCCTAGGCGCCCGCTGCTCTTCCTTCCCACCCACCGAGACAGGGCGAAACTCCCTCTTCCTGCCACTGACCCCTCTCCTCCCTCGGCCTCAGCCGCGCCGCCGTCCCCGGCTCCCTGCATGCTGCCTTTCCTCCCTGCTTGTCCTGCTCTGGGATCTGCATACGTCTGGCGACCAAGGACGAGGCCAGAGACCGAACGCACGCGCGCGGGCGGCGCAGTCCTTTGTGTGGGCACGTTGCCGGCCTCCATCCCCACTGTCCTGATTCTGGCCTGTTTACACGGCTATTCTCCTGCCCTTGCATCCCGTGCTAAGTCGTGGGCAACGGGTATGCTGGGCGCCTGCTGGCTCTTCCCCGAATGAGTTGTGAGTTCGTCCCTGGGTGCCAAACTTCCTGCCTCGCGCACTGGACCTCCGGCGGCAGCCGCCCGGCCCAGCCCACTCCCGTGTCGCGGTCTGGCAGCGCTCACCGTTGCATCCTGTCCCGCGTAGTGTTTGATGACCCGGCGGCCCCCGGGGTGCCAGCGGGAGAACTCGCTGATGTTGTACACCTTCCGGTCGATCACGAGCCACTGCTCCTTCTTGTCTCCGGAGCGCTGCGCCACCTCGTCCCACGTGAAGTAGCGCTGGGCCGGCGCCTGGGTAGGGGTCTCAGAGTCCATCGGGGCACGGGCGGTCAGGGATGCGCTGCAGGCCGGTGCGGTAGCACGCGCGGGCTTCGAGTGCGCAGGGTCCCGACCCGCCTGAGTGCACCGGGTTTTCAGCACCCGCGGACCACGGAGCCCTGCTGCGCGCGCTCCCATTGGTCGAGCCGTGTGGCGCGGGGAGCGAGGCCCCGCCTTCCCGCCGGGCCAGCCAGGTAGGTCTAGGGTGGGCACGCCTGCTCGCGGGCTCAGTAGGGTTTTCGCCGCGTGGTTCAGTTTCCAGACTAGCGGCTATCGCTCCCGGAGGCCGCGCGGCCTGGATCACAGTCTCTGCGGCGCGTGGGTGGGTGGGGTGGGGAGGGGCTGTCGAGGTTGCCCCAGAGGACTGGTCCGTAGGCCCCTGGTGCGCCCTTGCTAGTCCATCTGTTAAACCACCAAGGCGCTCCTGGTTGTGGGCCCGGAAACAACAGTGTGAGAACCCTTGGCGGTTATAATTATGGTTAATTGGGTTTGGGGCATGTTAATGCTTTATTTTGCCCAAAATAACGTTGAAAATGCCCCCACAATTTTTGTACCTCTGTTTACCTTTTTTGTTTTAATTTTTGGTCTGTTCTGAATTAACTGGGATCCTTAAATAAAAGGATGTCTTCAGCATCTCCTGACTTCAGGGAGGTTGTGTGTGGAGTACCTGGGTCTTCAAGCCAAGGCATCCCTACTTTGTCCTGGAGGCACCCCAGAGCCATAGGAGGAGCCATGGAACAAGGTCATTTACATTTTTCTTTAATACTTTCTGAATTTTTTATTATGAGCATGTATTTGCCTTCAGGAAAAAAATGTTTATTGTTTTAAAATGCCACTTGTAGGGACGCCTGGGTGGCTCAGTTGGTTAAGCAGCTGCCTTCAGCTCCAGGTCATGATCCTGGCGTCCTGGGATCGAGTCCCACATCGGGCTCCTTGCTCAGCGGGGAGCCTGCTTCTCCCTCTGCCTCTGCCTGCCATTCTGTCTACCTGTGCTCGCTCTCTCTCCCTCACTCTCTGACAAATAAATAAAATAAAATAAATTAAAAAAAAATAAATAAAATGCCACTTGTAGGATGATTCTTTGATTAAACCCACCTTCCTAAAATCGCTTTTAAGTAGAGGGATTTGGGGCTCAGACCTCTGGGCTTTAGGAAGGAGTGAGGAAGCAGCCAGAGTTTACTGCTAAATTCTCCATGTTGCAGTGTGGAGAGACCCAGAGTTTACTGCTAAATTTTTTCTTATTTATTCAACAAGCACACTATAAATCACTTACTATGTGCCAGGCACTGTTAGTGTCTTACAAACAAGACTTCATGTAGTTCTCAAAACAACCCACTGAGGTAGAAACTAGTATTAACCTTACAGACACAGGAGACCTCATGTGGTTTGTCACGCAGCTAGCAAGTGTCAGGGCAGAAATTCAAACCAGCCTGCATTTTGAACCCCTAGGCTCTGCTGTCTGTCCTCTGAGGACACTAGTATTTGGGTCTCTGATGGGACTCTGCAGCCAAGGGAAAGGAAGTAGAGCCTTGTCCCATGCACTGAGCTTCCAGGAGTCAGGGAAAAGTATGACTGGATTTCTGGTAGAAAAGGACCTTAATCCATTCAATCCAAATATCTCATTTTATAGATAAGAGAATTGAGTTTCCGGGGAAGGGACTTCCCAAGTGCCTGTGAGGAAGCTCAGATGTCCTGGCTTCTGGTTAAAATTCCAGGGCCCTGCACCTTGTTCTAGAATGATAGACAGCTGCCCCTCTGTTCATCAGTTTCCCTTTTTATAAAACAAATTTTGCCCAGCAGCTTGGCAGTTTGTAACCAGAGGTATATAATGATTTGTACTCTTCAATCAAATTATTCAAATCAGTAAGAAAAAAATAAACCAAAATGAGTGACACCAACAGGAGGTCATAAAAAATGTATAGAGAGCCAATAAACATGAAAGGGTACTCTGTCCCATAATTAAAAGAGGGGGTGCACTTGTATCAGATTGGCAAAATTTAGAGGTTTGGCTTATCTCTAAGACTTGGCTAGAGTTTGAAAAAACATGAGATGGTAAATTAGTGCAGTGTCGTTGTTTTTTTAAGATTTTTTTTTATTTATTTGATAGAGAGAGAGAGATTACAAGTAGGCAGAGAGGCAGGCAGAGAGAGAGGGGGAAGCAGGCTCCCTGCTGAGCAGAGAGCCTGATGTAGGACTCGATCCCAGGACCCTGGGATCATGACCTGAGCCGAAGACAGAGTCTTTAACCTACTGAGCCACCCAGGCACCCCTAGTGCAATGTTTTTAAAAAGCATTTGGCAAATATCTATCAAATCATAAAGGCATATATCCATTGACCTAGGAATAATAGAGATAGACTTGCATAGAATGCAAATAAAATGTTAGAGTATTCATTGTAGCTTTTTTTGGTAATAGTAAGAATAGGGTATAATTATAACTTTATAATTAATTATATAATTATATTAATTATGTAACTATATTAATTATAATTTTTTAGTACTTGCTGTGTTCCAGGAACTGTTCTAAGCATCTCACATATAGTATCTCATATAACTCCATGAAGTGGTTGTTTTCATTATATCACATTTTTTTAAAAAGATTTTTTATTTATTCATTTGACAGACAAAGGTCAAAATAGGCAGAGAGGCAGGCAGAGAGAGAGAGGGGGAAGCAGGCTCCCTGGTGAGCAGAGAGCCTGATGCGGGGCTTGATCCCAGGACCCTGAGATCATGACCTGAGCTGAAGGCAGAGGCTTAACCCACTGAGCCACCCAGGTGCCCCTATATCCCATTTTTTAAGTGAGGAAATCAGCTGGTAAATTCCCCCAAGGAGCAACAGCCAGTAGTGGCACAACTAGGAATTTAACCTAGAGCTGCACATTTAATCATTAATGCTACACTACCATTTCAAACAACCTAAATGTCTATCAAAGTAGGGAACAAGTTACATAAATATGGCATTTGAAATTCTACACTGTATGGCCCTCTCACCATAAAGAACCATAAAGCTGGACAAAATATATGAAGTGATTGTTTTTGGACATTGTACAATAGGCAGTGCAAGGTTGTGATGCCCAAGAGAAAGGAGATATACAAAGGGGACCCCACTGTCTCTCTGGCTTTCTGCCTGACGATACTTTCTGGTGCTGTAGTGAGGTGGAATCCAAGCAGAACACATCAGAGATTTATTTTAACATTTGAAACTTGAGACAGCTGGGGTTTGTGGGTCATGCTATTAGAGAGAATTCAGAAATCTGCATATGGGTCTTAAGTTTTTAGGCAAATACTAAAGACTTAATGTACAGGGTGAGACTTCACAAGTCTGGCAGAGAACAGCTACTTGGTCTCATAGTACTGGGCGACATAGGAGTTCCTACTAGCCAGAGTCAAGAGACCTCCCTAAATATTCTGTGCATTCAGCTGAGGACCCAGAAAGGCCATGCTTTAGGAGTAGCAGTACTTTGCCCTAAGCTATGTGTCATTCTAGACCTTTCTAACAAAGTTGTTTTTTAAAGATTTTATGTATTTATTTGAGAGTGAGAGAGATCACAGAGGAAGAGGCAGAGGTAGAAGCTAACTTGCTGCTGAGCAGAGAACCCACTGTAGGGCTCGATTCCAGGACCACAAGACCACGACTCGAACTGAAAGCAGACACTCAACTAACTGAGCCACCTAAGTGCCTCTCCAATAAAGTTTAAAAATAAGCCTCAAAAGAATCAGGCTTTCCTGCCAGTAAATTAACTATTGATTAGGAGATGATACAACAAGGGTACCTGGCTGGCTCTGTCAGTAGAACATGGGACTCTTTGTGAGTTCAAGCCCCGTCTTGGGCATGGAGCCTACTTAAAAAAAAAAAAAAAAAAAATTACAAAAAGAGCATCTTTTAAAGGAAGGCAACTAAATCCTGACACTAAAAATAATTTAGCATTCACAAAGTTCAACATAAAATTGAAAATTTCTGGACATGAAAAAATCAGAAAAATGTGACCCACAACCAGGTTTTTTTTTTTTTTTTTTACGGAAAATAGAAACAGACCCATAGATGGCAAATGTTGTAAATGGAAGACAAGAACTTTTAAACAGCTACTATAAATATACTTAAGGGCTTAAAGGAAAAGATTTCCATACTGGGTAAGCTGATGGAAAAGCTTACTAAATAAATAGAAACAATAAAAAAAAAAGAAATAGAAATTTGGGAACTGAGAAACATAGTTTCTGCAATATAAATTCAATGGGGAGAATTAATAACAGATAGAAACTACAGAAGGAAAAATCAGTGAAATTGAAGATAGAAACATAGGAATTATCCAGAGTGATGCTCACAGAGGGGAAAAATAAACAGGAAAACAAAAAAAGCAATAATCATTAGACAGTATCAAATGGTCTAACATATATAAAGCAGTCCTACAATAAGAGGAGGAAAAGATTAAGGTAGAAGAAAATAGTTAAAAAAATAATGGCTGAAATGTTTCCATATTTGAAGAAAAATAACAATTCACAGATCCTACAAGCTCAGTGAACACCAAGCAGGAAAAAGTACAAAGAAAATGACACCCAGGCAAAAACATAGTCAAATTTCTAAAAGTAAAAAATAAAATCCTGAAGGTACCTAGAGGAGAAAGTATGCATTATAGATAGGAGAACAATAATATGATTTATCACTGATTTTTCACCAGAAATAATGCTACCCAGAGGACATTGGCAAAAATACTGTTAACCTAAGAATCTATACCCAGTGAAAATATTTTTTAAATTAACATATAATGTATTATTAGCCCCAGGGGTACAGGTCTATGAATTGCCAGGTTTACATACTTCACAGCACTCACCGTAGCACATATCCTCCCCAATGTCCATAACCCCAACACTCTCTCCCTATACCCCTCCCCCGCCGGCAACTCTCAGTTTGTTTTGTGAGATTAAGAGTCTCTTATGGTTTGTCTCTCTCCCAATCCCATCTTGTTTCATTTATTCTTTTCTTACCCTCCAAACCCCCCAGGTTGCATCTCCACTTCCTTATATCAGGGAGATCATATGATAGTTGTTTTTCTCCAATTGACTT